TTCATATTGTGCCTCTAGGACAGGAAGTGAAGGGGTATTTTCTCAGCAGAACATTCCTATGCTATCTAAATGTACAAAAAAAAAAGATATTTCTATATAAACTTATAAAAACTGAAAAGGAATGCAAACTTATACAATGAATACTTCTTTATAAGTTTCTTTAGACAACAGTAGGTGCAATCACATTATACACTGCGTGTCTGTGTGTGTATATATACAGTCAGGTCCATAAATATTGGGACATCGACACAATTCTAACATTTTTGGCTCTACACACCACCACAATGGATTTGAAATGAAACGAACAAGATGTGTTTTAACTGCAGACTGTCAGCTTTAATTTGAGGGTATTTACATCCAAATCAGGTGAACAGTGTAGGAATTACAACAGTTTCCCTATGTGCCTCCCACTTGTTAAGGGACCAAAAGCAATGGGACAATTGGCTTCTCAGCTGTTCCATGGCCAGGCGTGTGTTATTCCCTCATTATCCCAATTACAATGAGCAGATAAAAGGTCCAGAGTTCATTTCAAATGTGCTATTTGCATTTGGAATCTGTTGCTGTCAACTCTCAAGATGAGATCCAAACAGCTGTCACTATCAGTGAAGCAAGCCATCATTAGGCTGAAAAAACAAAACAAACCCATGAGAGAGATAGCAAAAACATTAGGCGTGGCCAAAACAACTGTTTGGAACATTCTTAAAAAGAAGGAATGCATCGGTGAGCTCAGTAACACCAAAAGACCCAGAAGACCACGGAAAACAACTGTGGTGGATGACCGAAGAATTCTTTCCCTGGTGAAGAAAACACCCTTCACAACAGTTGGCCAGATCAAGAACACTCTCCAGGAGGTAGGTGTATGTGTGCCAAAGTCACCAATCAAGAGAAGACTTCACCAGAGTGAATACAGAGGGTTCACCACAAGATCTAAACCATTGGTGAGCCTCAAAAACAGGAAGGCCAGATTAGAGTTTGGCAAACGACATCTAAAAAAGCCTTCACAGTTCTGGAACAACATCCTATGGACAGATGAGACCAAGATCAACTTGTACCAGAGTGAAGGGAAGAGAAGAGTATGGAGAAGGAAAGGAACTGCTCATGATCCTAAGCATACCACCTCATCAGTGAAGCATGGTGGTGGTAGTGTCATGGCGTGGGCATGTATGGCTGCCAATGGAACTGGTTCTCTTGTATTTATTGATGAAGTGACTGCTGACAAAAGCAGCAGGATGAATTCTGAAGTGTTTTGGGCAATATTATCTGCTCATATTCAGCCAAACGTTTCAGAACTCATTGGACGCCGCTTCACAGTGCAGATGGACAATGACCCAAAGCAGACTGCAAAAGCAACCAAAGAGTTTTTTAAGGGAAAGAAGTGGAATGTTATGCAATGGCCAAGTCAATCACCTGACCTGAATCCGATTGAGCATGCATTTCACTTGCTGAAGACAAAACTGAAGGGAAAATTCCCCAAGAACAAGCAGGAACTGAAGACAGTTGCAGTAGAGGCCTGGCAGAGCATCACCAGGGATGAAACCCAGCGTCTGGTGATGTCTATGCGTTCCAGACTTCAGGCTGTAATTGACTGCAAAGGATTTACAACCAAGTATTAAAAAGTGAAAGTTTGATTTATGATTTTTATTCTGTCCCATTACTTTTGGTCCCTTAAAAAGTGGGAGGCACATATGCAAACTGTTATAATTCCTACACCGTTCACCTGATTTGGATGTAAATACCCTCAAATTAAAGCTGACAGTCTGCCGTTAAAGCACATTTTGTTTGTTTCATTTCAAATCCATTGTGGTGGTGTACAGAGCCAAAAATGTTAGAATTGTGTCCATGTCTCAATATTTATGGACCTGACTGTATATATATATATATATATATATATATATATATATTTTTTTTTTTTTTTTTTTTTGTTATTTTTTTATTGTTTGTATTTTATTTTACATTTTATTTTAGTTTTTTAATGTTATTTTTTATATTTTATTTTATATTTTATTTTATTTGATGGCTTTTTTTTTTTTGCTTTTCTTTAAACAAATATTGGATTTGAAGTCCCTAAGTTTAAACATTCTTATGTTTCCTAGCTTGGGAATTAAATAGTCTGTTGCCCTGAAGCTGTACACATATCCGTACATGTGTTGCAGTACTTGTTATTTTGAGCAGGGTACTCACTGATCGGTAGGTGGAATGAGTCAACATCTTAATCATCGTAACTATTTCCTTCTTGTCACAATTAACATTTTCGCTGGAGGTTAGGTAAGTCTGAAATAATTCTTCTCCTTAGAGCCTGAAATATTTAGCGTGTGTTTTTCCTTTTTACAGAACTATTTTGTTTCGTTTGCCGCACTTTATTATGTTCTTTCTACCCTTTGGTTGTAGACAGGCAGCTGGCACTAGCGGTAGAAGAGATTAAACTTTAAAAAGGTATTTTATAGAAAATGTTGTCCTTTATTGCAGTAATTTTTTTTTTTACTCTAATACCTGCTGCACTGACACCCTAAACATCGATCCTGCCAATGAGGTATAGTTACCGTTTGCTATAAAATATATGATCCGTGTAACATGTGTAGAATATTGAGAATATCATTACTTGAGGCCATGCAGTGTGAATCCTAATGAATTCAAAGTTCCAGTCTTTGCAATGATTGAATGCAGGATTCATTGTAACTATAGAATCCAGTGGTAAGATACATTTAACCATTTCAATACCGGGCAATTTACACCTTCCTGCCCAGGCCAGTTTTCACGTTTCAGCGCTCTCACACTTTGAATGACAATTGCGCGGTCATACAACATTGTACCCAAACTAAAATCTTATCATTTTCTTCACACAACTAGAGCTTTCTTTTGGTGGTATTTAATCACCGCTGGGGTTTTTATTTTTTGCTAAATTAACAAAAAAAGACCAAAAATTGTGAAAAAAAAACACGTTTTTCTTTGTTTCTGTTATAAAAGTTTACAAATAAATAATTGTTCTTCATAAATTTAGGCCGAGATGTATTCTGCTACATGTCTTTGGTGAAAATAACCCAAATTAGGATGTATTATTTAGTTTGTAGGAAAGTTATAGTTTTCTCAAACTATGGTATAGATCTGAATATTGATCAATCCTGAAGTATTGACAGCCAATCTAATTTCTTGAGGTCCAAGAATGTCAGAACAGTACAGATATCCCCCAAATGTCAGGACAGTACAGATATCCCCCAAATTAGCCCTTTTTGCAGAGTAGACAGTCCGACATACTTCATAAGAGGCATGGCGAGTTTTTTGAAGTTGTATTTTTTTTTGTCATAATTTTTCAGAAAATGAAAAAAATTATTTTCACTATTTTTTTTTTACATACTGTCACCAGTGCAGTACAGCGTCATCATATAACTGGCATGGCGGTGATCAGGGACACTGACTGGTGACAGTATGAAAAAAAAAATATATATGTATTTTTTTATTTTTTTTTATTTTTTTATTATTTTTAATTTTTTATTACTTTTTTTTTATTTTTTTTAAGATTTTTTTTTCATATTTTACTATGACCAACATAGTACAATGTTACCATAGTAACATTGTACTACTTTGGGGAAGTGATCAATATTTTTTTTTTTACACAATTTGCTTATAGCAAAGAATTACTTTGCTATAAGCAAGCATTTACCTGAATGACATCGATTCATTCAGGTTTTTTGTTTTTTTTTGTGCTTAGCTGTGATTTGGCCACAGCTAATCACATGACATGTGCATGTGACCTGCTGTGACCATTCACAGCTAGACACTAGTATACAATGGATGGCATGAATGAAGCCATCCATTGTATACAACTGTCATGTGACCTGCTGTGATTGGTCAACGAGGGTCTGTACTCAGATCTGTCATCGGCTGTGTCCGAGGTACATGGCCGGTGACAGATCGCTCCGCTGCGCGGCTCTGCCACCGCGCGAACTGCGCATGTGCAGGAGGACGCCGGAAAGCTAAAGTATTTTTGCGGCCGCCGGGCGGCTAATGGTTAAATAAAATAAATAAATGTTCTAGTTTATTGAATTAATGAATGATCAGTCAAACTGCCATGGCTTCTGTTTGGCAGGGGATTGGGAACTTTAAAGTGGTATTAAACCCAAAAGCAAACATTTATTATATTGCAGCTTGCTCGGTTGTATTAGTTTTCCTTTTTCAGGCTTTCTTGTCTTTCCTTTCTTTTCCTTTTATTTTCACCTGGTGATCCAGCCAGTAAGTCTGTTGTTTTTCAAAAGAACAAACTCTCCAGTAGAATATATCAGTTACAGAGATGAGACAAACCATTTAACTCTTGAAAGGGTGCTCACGATGATCAGCGTTTATTTATTCATGTAAAACCTTTATCCCAAAAGGAACAAAAAACTGTTTGCTGTAACTGATTATAAAGTGTAAGCTGGAGTTTATTTTCAATTTGTTATTGTATGTACATTGTTAGTATAAATCTACTAATACATTTAAACACTCCTACTCCCCCCCCAGACTGACAAGGCTGTTGTTTGCTGTGCCTCCAATGCTCATTCCTCCAGAGTGGTTTCTCACTAATACTGGAGGTGTGTACTGGCCAGATCACCAGATGAAAACAGAGGGAAGAAGCCAAAGAGAAAACTGATACAGCTACCACAGCGAATCATTGGTAACCTGCAAAATATTACAGTTTTGGTTTTGGGTTTAAAGTGGTAATAAACTCAGGACGCTGCATTCACTATATCTGGTCTCCCTGGACCCTGCATTCACTATATCTGCTCTCTCCCCGGACCCCGCATTCACTATATACGGTCTCCCTGGACCCTGCATTCACTATATCTGGTCTCCCTGGACCCTGCATTCACTATATCTGGTCTCCCTGGACCCTGCATTCACTATATCTGGTCTCCCCGGACCCTGCATTCACTATATCTGGTCTCCCCGGACCCTGCATTCACTATATCTGGTTTCCCAGGACCCCACATTCACTATATCTGGTCTCCCCGGACCCTGCATTCACTATATCCGGTCTCCCCGGACCCCGCATTCACTATATACGGTCTCCCAGGACCCTGCATTCACAATATCTGGTCTCCCCGGACCCTGCATTCACTATATCTGGTCTCCCTGGACCCTGCATTCACTATATCTGGTCTCCCCAGACCCTGCATTCACTATATCTGGTCTCCCCGGACCCTGCATTCACTATATCTGGTCTCCCCGGACCCTGCATTCACTATATCTGGTTTCCCAGGACCCCACATTCACTATATCTGGTCTCTCCCCGGACCCTGCATTCACTATATCCGGTCTCCCCGGACCCCGCATTCACTATATACGGTCTCCCTGGACCCTGCATTCACTATATCTGGTCTCCCTGGACCCTGCATTCACTATATCTGGTCTCCCCGGACCCCGCATTCACTATATCTGGTCTCCCAGGACCCCGCATTCACTATATCTGGTCTCCCCAGACCCTGCATTCACTATATCTGATCTCCCCGGACCCTGCATTCACTATATCTGGTCTCCCTGGACCCCGCATTCACTATATCTGGTTTCTCAGGACCCTGCATTCACTATATCTGGTCTCCCTGGACCCCGCATTCACTATATCTGGTCTCCCAGGACCCTGCATTCACTATATATTATTATTATTATACAGTATTTATAAAGCGCCAATAGTTCGCTCAGCGCTGTACATTACAAAGGGTGACAGAACAATACCAATACAATGCAAAACATGAGGGGATCGAGGGCCCTGCTCTTTCAAGCTTACAATCTAGGAGGGAGGGGATGGTGGCACAGGAGGAGATAGCTGTGGGGGATGAGGTGGTAGGAAGAGTGGAGGAGGTCGGCAAGGGGTGGGGTAGGCTTCCCTTAAGAGGTGGGTTTTCAGGGTGCGCCTAAAGGAGAGGAGAGTAGGTGATTATCTGATGGTTTGGGGCAGGGAGTTCCAGAGGATGGGTGACACCCTGGAGAAGTCCTGGAGGCGGGCATGGGAGGAGGAGACCAAAGAACTAGAGAGAAGGAGGTCTTGTGAGGAGCGGAGTGTGCGTGTTGGGTGTTACTTGGATGTTAGGTCAGTGATGTAGTTCGGGGCAGTATGGTGGACAGCTTTGTACGTCAGTGTTAGGATTTTGAATTTGATCCGTTGCGCAATCGGAAGCCAGTGGAGGGATTGGCAGAGGGGGGTGGCGGAGATGGAGCGGTTGGAAAGGTGAATGAGTCTGGCAGCCGTATTCATATGGTCTTCCCAGACCCTGCATTCATCACTATATCTGGTCTCCCCCCGGACCCTGCATTCACTATATCTGGTCTCCCCGGACCCTGCATTCACTATATCCAGTCTCCCCGGACCCTGCATTCACTATATCTGGTCTCCCCGGACCCTGCATTCACTATATCTGTTCTCCCTGGACCCTGCATTCACTATATCTGGTCTCCCCGGACCCTACATTCACTATATCTGGTCTCTCAGGACCCTGCATTCACTATATCTGGTCTCCCCGGACCCTGATTCACTATATCTGGTCTCTCAGGACCCTGCATTCACTATATCTGGTCTCCCCGGACCCTGCATTCACTATATCTGTTCTCCCTGGACCCTGCATTCACAATATCTGTTCTCTCAGGACCCTGCATTCACTATATCTGGTCAGCCCAGACCCTGCATTCACTATATCTGGTCTCCCTTGACCCTGCATTCACTATATCCGCTCTCCCCGTACCCTGCATTCACTATATCTGGTCTCCCCAGACCCGCATTCATATATCCGGTCTCCCAGGACCCTGCATTCACTATATCTGTTCTCCCTGGACCCTGCATTCACAATATCTGTTCTCTCAGGACCCTGCATTCACTATATCTGGTCAGCCTGGACCCTGCATTCACTATATCTGGTCTCCCTTGACCCTGCATTCACTATATCCGCTCTCCCCGTACCCTGCATTCACTATATCTGGTCTCCCTGGACCCCGCATTCACTATATTTGGTCTCCCTGGACCCCGCATTCACTATATCTGATCTCTCAGGACCCTACATTCACTATATCTGGTCTCCACGGACCCTGCATTCACTATATCTGGTCTCCCTTGACCCTGCATTCTCTATATCTGGTCTCCCCGGACCCTGCATTCACTATATCTGGTCTCCCCAAACCCTGCATTCACTATATCTGATCTCTCAGGACCCTGCATTCACTATATCTGGTCTCCACGGACCCTGCATTCACTATATCTGGTCTCCCTTGACCCTGCATTCTCTATATCTGGTCTCCCCGGACCCTGCATTCACTATATCTGGTCTCCCCAAACCCTGCATTCACTATATCTGGTCTCTCAGGACCCCGCATTCACTATATCCGCTCTCCCCGGACCCTGCATTCACTATATCTGGTCTCCCTGGACCCTGCATTCACTATATCTGGTCTCCCCGGACCCTGCATTCATATATCCGGTCTCTCAGGACCCTACATTCACTATATCTGGTCTCCCTGGATCCCGCATTCACTATATTTGGTCTCCCCGGACCCCGCATTCAGTATATCTGGTCTCTCAGGACCCTGCATTCACTATATCTGGTCTCCCCGGACCCTGCATTCACTATATCTGGTCTCCCAGGACCCTGCATTCACTATATCCGCTCTCCCCGGACCCTGCATTCATTATATCTGGTTTTCCAGGACCCTACATTCACTATACCTGGTCTCCCTTGACCTTGCATTCACTATATCCACTCTCCCCAGATCCTGTATTCACTATATCTGGTCTCCCCGGACCCTGCATTCACTTTATCCGGTCTCCCCAGATCCTGCATTCACTATATCTGGTCTCCCCAAACCCTGCATTCACTTTATCCGGTCTCCCCGGACCCTGCATTCACTATATCCGGTCTCCCAGGACCCTGCATTCACTATATCTGGTCTCCCCGGACCCTGCATTCACTATATCTGGTCTCCCCGGACCCTGCATTCACTATATCTGGTCTTCCCGGACCCTGCATTCACTATATCTGGTCTCCCGGGACCCTGCATTCACTATATCCTGGTCTCCCCGGACCCTGCATTCACTATATCCGGTCTACCAGGACCCTGCATTCACTATATCTGGTCTCCCCGGACCCTGCATTCACTATATCTGGTCTCCCACAGTACACACAACATGGAAATTCAATTGTTTTAGTAAATATAAACTGCTAAACACCTTTTCTCATCAGCAGTTAGAGCAGTCTTGTGACTTCTATCAGTGTCCAGCTGAGCACTGGTTAAAGCTTGTAGGAGTTTACTTTCTGCTCTAGGAGGATGCAGAACCCCTGACCGCTGTCTGGACAGTGCTGATTGACCCTGTGCTGATCACATGCACTCTCCCAAGAAAAAAAAAAAAAAACCTCTTTAGCAATACACACCATACTGAGCATGTGCATGTGACTACGGATTCAGTCTGTCTTATCAGAAGATAAGACGTGGACATTTCAACAAGAGGCGGGGCAGAGAAGAAGGGATCAAGCAGCTTTTTTTACACAATGCAGAGGATTAACCCCTTAGGTCCACAGTGAGTATAACAAGCATGCTTTACTACATATACAGACTGATTTTACTGTTGTGGGTTTAGTAACACTTCAGACACCGGTCATAATGGAACAATTTCAGGTGCAAATATGAACCAAAATCACACCTGAAATAGTATCTAATGTATAGTAATGAATGTGAATGTCAGTATCCTAACATGTGCGATTTGTGCAGCTCAATTTCTAAAGTAGTTCTTGCATTTTTTCTACAGTTTTGTTGCAATTTCACATACATAGAATATAATAGAAATCGCACTGCAAATTGCAAGAAATCGTTGAAGAGTAGCAATAAAGTCTTCAGGAATCATACCTGAAATCACACTGAAATTGCACACAAAGTGCGTGAGTTTAAATCGCAGCGGTGTGCCCGGTGACTTAACCATTTGCTGCCCGCCCTATGGCCGAATGTCATCAGTGTTCCGGGTGGACGCCATATGGTATCCTCCCGCACATGCACAGATTGCGCTCCTGCAGAGCCGCGCAGCGGCGTGATCCGTCACCGGCTGTGTACCTCGGACACGGCGATGACAGATCTGAGTATCGGCCCCCGTTGCCGGTACCATGTGACCAATCACAGCAGGTCACATGACAGTTGTATACAATGGATGGCTTCATTCATGCCATCCATTGTATACTAGTGTCTAGGTTTGAATGGTCACAGCGATCACATGCACATGTCATGTGATTAGCTGTGGCCAAATCACAGCTAAGCACACAAAAAAAAAAAAAACCTGAATGAATCGATGTCATTCAGGTAAATGCTTGCTTATAGCAAAGTAATTCTTTGCTATAAGCAAATTGTGTAAAAAAAAAAAAAAACAACAACTGATCACTTCCCCAAAGTAGTACAATGTTGCTATGGTAACATTGTACTACTTTGGCCATAGTGAAATATAAAAAAAAAATCTTAAAAAAAGAAAACAAATTTAATTTAAAAAAAAAAAATATATATATATATATTTTTTTTTTTCATACTGTCACCAGTCAGTGTTCCTGATCACCACCATGCCAGTTATATGATGATGCTGTACTGCACTGGTGACAATATGTAAAAAAAAATAGTGAAATTAATTTTTTAATTTTTTTAATTTTCCGAAAAATTATGACAAAAAAATACAACTTCAAAAAACTCGCCATGCCTCTTATGAAGTACGTCGGACTGTCTACTCTGCAAAAAGGGGTCATTTGGGGGATATCTGTACTGTTCTGACATTCTTGGACCTCAAGAAATTAGATTGGCTGTCAGTACTTCAGGATTGATCAATATTCAGATCTATACCATAGTTTGTGAACTCTATATAACTTTCCTACAGACTAAATAATACATCCTAATTTGGGTTATTTTCACCAAAGACATGTAGCAGAATACATCTCGGCCTAAATTTATGAAGAACAATTATTTATTTGTAAACTTTTATAACAGAAACAAAGAAAAACATGTTTTTTTTTTCAAAATTTTTGGTCTTTTTTTGTTAATTTAGCAAAAAATAAAAACCCCAGCGGTGATTAAATACCACCAAAAGAAAGCTCTAGTTGTGTGAAGAAAATGATAAAATTGTAGTTTGGGTACAATGTTGTATGACCGCGCAATTGTCATTCAAAGTGTGAGAGCGCTGAACCTTGAAAAATGGCCTGGGCAGGGAGCTGTAAAATTGCCCGGTATTGAATTGGTTAAATAAGCTGTCTTTAGTAAAGGTACTCTTAATATTTCATATACTATTCTTTGTTTTTCCTACAGCGCAGCAATTGTACTCTACAGCCATGCTGAAAAAAGTAAGAATATTAGGCATTTTTTTGATGATAGCAACATTGGTCTTTTTCAGTTGGATTACTATTAGAGATCGAGACTTTAACATCTTGAATTTCTTCATTACTAACAACTCAGAATCAGTATCCATGGACAGTTCTAATGGAATGTCAAGTCCTTTTAGTGCAAAAACAATTCTAAGAGCAGGAAATGGAATCTTATTTATGGAGACCACGGACAGAATGGATCCACCATCTCTGGTACTGTGTGCTATTGAATCAGCCGCACGAGTCTACCCTGACCGACCGGTGGCCTTCTTCATGAAAGGATTGGAGGACATTACCACAGAAGAAGATGAGAAGAGAGCAAGACAACAATTTCCAACCTTGTCGTCCTATAGCAATGTTTACCTCTTCCCTCTGAGAATGGATCAATTATTTAATAACACGCCTCTTAAACCGTGGTTTGATAAGGTAAATTATACAATAAATGGGGTACCTTTGAGGAAACCTTTACAGGCTTTTAGATGGAAAGCCTGTAAAAATGTATACAAAATACATTTGGCAAAAGTCCTCCCACTGACACCCCTCAAAAAATAATAATTATGATCATCCTAAATACTTTCTATATCACAAATAAGGAATACATATGCAGATATGGAAAGTAAAGAAAAGTCATAAGTCCTTATCTATTTATTTTCCCTCAAGTCAATGGGGTTGATTTACTAAAGGCAAACAGCAGGGAACTGCTGCGAGGGCTAATAAAGCTCTTAAATGTATTAAAGTAAACCTGTCTTAAAGAAAATACTGTGCTCACCAGTAAAGGGAGATATGGAGAATATTTAGATTTCTGAAATTCTGGTAAAAATCTGGAAATTTTCATGAACTATTATCATTTTTGTAAAAATGTATTTGAATAAACTGGGAAGGTGAAATTAAGATGATTTTTAAGGGTGCAATGGGCTTGAAATAGCTCCTGAGATTTAGAGAAGCTCCTTTTCCTGCTGAAAAGGAAAAAACCCCGTATTACATAGTTACATAGTTAGTCTGGCTGAAAAAAGACAAAAGTCCATCCAGTTCAACCATTAAAAAAAAAAAAAGTTATAATCCTACACCCACAGTTGATCCAGAGGAAGGCAAAAAAAACCCAGCAAAGCACGATCCAATTTGCTCCTGCAAAAATATACTGTATATATACAGTATATTTTTATTTATTTATTATAGGTATTTATATAGCACTGAAAATGTTAAGAAGCACTTTACATCTATCTATTGTACATTTTAAAGAAATTATTATTATTATACAGGATTTATATGGCGCCTCAGTTGCTCAGCGCTTTACAATATAACGGGAGACAATACAGCAACAATAAGTTCAATACAAGAGGGTTTAGGAGAGCCCTGCTCTTTGGAGCTTACAATCTAAGCAAATAAAAAATTTAAAATACACAAATAAATATCAAATAAATAAAAGAAATAAAAGAAAAAACACTCACACACACACACTACCTGAAATAAATTAAACTACCTAAACCACACACAAAAAGTCTCTAAATAGAAACAACAGTAGACAAAAGGCCCAATGACTGGAGATGGGAGTTTCCACTTCCACAAGTTACTGTTCATCCTTATTTTTTCACTTAAATTAGTAATTTTGTGGCTAAATCAATTTTGCCAAAATAAATTTGGCGAAAGTCCCCCCACTGACACCCCTCAAAAAATAATAATTATGATCATCCTAAATACTTTCTATATCACTAATAAGGAATAAATATGCAGATCTGGAAAGTAAAGAAAAGTCAGAAGTCCTTATCTACAGGTGAAACTTGAAAAATTAGAATATCGTGCAAAAGTCCATTTATTTCAGTAATGCAACTTAAAAGGTGAAACTAATATATGAGATAGACTCATTACATGCAAAGCAAGATAGTTTAAGCCGTGATTTGTCATATAATTGTGATGATTATGGCTTACAGCTCATGAAAACCCCAAATCCACAATCTCAGAAAATTGGAATATTACATGCAATCAATAAAACAAGGATTGTAGATAGAACAATATCGAACCTCTTGAAAAGTAGAAGCATGCATATGTACTCAGTACTTGGTTTGGGCATATATTCTCTATGGGGTTCAGGTCAGGCGAGTTTGCTGGCCAATCAAGCACAGTAATCCCACGGTCATTGAACCAGGTTTTGGTGCTTTTGGCAGTGTGGGCAGGTGCCAAGTCCTGTTGGAAAATGCAGTCAGCATCCCCATAAAGCTCGTCTGCGGAAGGAAGCATGAAGTGCTCCAAAATCTCCTGGTAGACGGCTGCGTTGACCCTGGACTTAATGAAGCACAGTGGACCAACACCAGCAGATGACATGGATCCCCAAATCAACACAGACTGTGGAAACTTCACACTGGACTTCATGCATCTTGCAGTGTGTGCCTCTCCATTCTTCCTCCATACTCGGGGTCCTTGGTTTCCAAATGAGATCCAAAAGTTGCTGTCATCAGAAAAGAGGACTTTGGACCACTGAGCAACAGATCAGGTCTGTTTTTCTTTAGCCCAGGTAAGACGCTTCTGACGTTGTTTGTTGCTCAGGAGCAGCTTGACAAGAGGAATACGACATTTGAAGCCCATGTCCAGGATCCGTCTGTGTGTGGTGGCTCTTGATACACTGACTCCAGCCTCAGTCCACTCCTTGTGAAAGTCCCCAACACTTTTGAATGTCCTTTTCCTGACAATCCTCTCCAGGCTGCGGTCATCCCTGCTGCTTGTGCACCTTTTTCTTCCACACTTTTCCCTTCCACATAACTTTCTATTAATGTGCTTTGATACAGCACTTTGGGAACATCCAACTTCTTTTGCAATTCCCTTTTGAGGCTTTCCCTCCTTATGGAGGGTGTCATTGATGGTTTTCTGCACAACTGTCAGGTCAGCAGTCTTTCCCATGATTGTGATTCCTACTGAACCAGACTGAGAGACCATTTAAAGGCTCAGGAACCCTTTGCAGGTGTTATGGCTTAATTAGCTGATTACAGTGGGACACTTTGAGCCGAGAATATTGCACTTTTCACAATATTCTCATTTTCTGAGATTGTGGATTTGGGGTTTTCATGAGCTGTAAGCCATAATCATCACAATGATGACAAATCACAGCTTGAACTATCTTGCTTTCCATGTAATGAGTCTATCTCATATATTAGTTTCACCTTTTAAGTTGCATTACTGAAATAAATTAACTTTTGCACGATATTCTAATTTTTCGAGTTTCACCTGTATATAGTTTTCCCCAAGTCAATGGGGTTGATTTACTAAAGGCAGACTGTGTACTTTACAAGTACAGTTGCTCCAGAGCTTTCTAAATGAGGGGAAGCTCTAACGACTTCCATCATCCAATCATGTGCAAGCAGAAATGTTTTTTTATTATTATTTTCCTTGCATGCGATTGGGTATTCTTTGTTAACCCCTCTGGCGGTATTCCCAAGTCAAGTCAAAAAACACTGGTTTGCAGCGTTTTACCGCCTTTTTCCGAGTTAGAGCGTTTTTACAGCTAAAAGACTCCTCTAGTAACCCACTAGTCTCGTTTTTTTTTTCCAGCCAAAAAACGTCCCTGCCAAAAACATTGATTCCAGTCTATGTGTGTATGGACACATAGGATAACATGCTGGGGGGTTTATTAGCTGTAGAAAAAACCTCAAAAGCCAAAAACAGCCGCTGTAAAAAATGTCAAGTGTGCATGAGGACTAATGATACAAAATTATAAAGTGTTATTCATTAAGACTGTCAGGATCCATGCACACGGGGCGTTTTAATAACGCTGGTAATGTTAGCGCTCGTTTTTTTCCAACTCTTGCCAAACGTCCCTGTAGTGTTTGACAAGCATTGGTCCAGCGTTTGTGAAGCATTTTTAACACTCCGCAAATGCTCCAAAAACGCCGTATGCGCAGTTTTTGCAGCGGTTGCTAGGCATTTGGCAAGGGTTAAAAACACACCCACAAACGCCTATAATGAAGTTTGAATGGTGTTACCGCTTCCGCCAACTGCGCTGCAACCGCACCGCAAACGCCAGCCAGGCATTTGCGGAGCGGCACCGTAGACTTGAATCGGAGGCTTCAACTCCTCCTGACTCGACCAGAGGCATCCGTTTTGCCGCGACGCTAACGCTTCCGTGTGAACAGCACTATGTGCTGCAATGTGCAGAATTTTCTGAGGTGTTTGAAAGCGGTAAAAAACGCTGCCCAAACGCTTTTCTGCCGCCTGCTGACAACGCTAGTGTGAACGTAGCCTTAGTTGTGTAAAGTCACGTTAAAAATGTGAGTTTCTCACCTTTTTTTAGTGTTTTTGCATTAGTGTTTTTCCGCGATTAGCGGTGTTTTCCCACGTTTGCAGGTTTTAGCTTTTTTTTTTTAAAAAAAAATAAATATGTTTTGCTAAAAAAAAGGCCAAAAATGCTGGTTTGCGGCATTGTGCCGCGTTTTTTCAGAGTTAGAGCGTTTTTACAGCTAAAAAACTCCTCTAGAAACCCACCAGTTCTGGGTTTTTTTCCAGCCAATAAACGTTGATTCCAGTCTATGTGTGTATGGACACATAGGATAACATGCTGGGGGGTTTACTGGCTGTAGAAAAAAACATCAAAAGCCAAAAAACAGCCGCTGTAAAAATGTCCAGTGTGCATGAGGACTAAATATAGCTGTGCAGTCTAATTGGTCTCGGAATTGGACTTAACGCACTCAGTAACAGGTCAGATACACCCGGGGCAGACTGACAACTCATGGGGCCCCCTTTCAATAGGGGATCATGGGGCCCCTGTGTACTCACCTACACTCAAACCACACCCAAAAAAGCCTATGAAAGGTACCAGGGGCACCACATGGGGCCCCCTACTGACACCGGGCCCTCAGGCAGTGCCTGAGTGTCCGAATGGTCAGTCCGCCCCAGGGGCGGACTGAAAACTCATGGGGCCCCCAGGAAATAGGGGATCATGGGGCCCCTGTGTCCTTGCCCAAACTCAAAAAAGCCTATGAAAAAGGTACCAGGGGCATGTCATGGGGCCCTCTACTGACCCCGGGCCCTTGTCCGAATGGTCAGTCCGCCCCAGGGGCGGACTGACAACTCATGGGGCCCCCAGGAAATAGGGGATCATGGGGCCCCTGTGTCCTTGCCCAAACTCAAAAAAGCCTATGAAAAAGGTACCAGGGGCATGTCATGGGGCCCTCTACTGACCCCGGGCCCTTGGGCAGTGCCCGAATTTCCAAGTGGTCAGTCCGCCCCTGGTCCGCCCCTGGATACACCTTCTTACCTTCCCTGTAAGACAAGGCTGTTGAGGACACTAGTGATTAGGGGTGTGGCTGTTACTCAGCTCTGTCACCACAGACCACTGCAAAGTGATGACAGAGCACATTTTCACAGAGAGAAAATTTCCAAGCAAAAATCAATCACAAATGATAAAACAACAATGGCAAACCCTCGCACTGCATTATATG